GGATTGGCAATAGATGTTAGCTCAGGGCTGGTCTTCCTCACAAAAAAAAAAAAAAAACCTCAAAGAATTAATCAGAAAAAAAAAAAAAGAAACTATGTCAGTGGACAATTAAGTGCTAAGCACTTAGTAAATGAATAGCAGCTGCAGGGTATGCAGCCTCTCCAATTGAGTCGTAACCTCCTACTCCAGCCCTCCCCCAAACATGAGAGTCCCAACCACCACCCTATTGCTGAGCCCGCCTACATTTTCAAGAAAGCATTACCAATTATACATGCCCTAGGATGACCACTACGGAAAAATTTTAAAAGTATGTGTTGAGATAGCAAATTCAAGAGTGATGTTTATTTTTATCTTTTGTTGTTGTTATTGAGTTGTTTTGACAGTAGAAAATTATTTTAAGAATAAGTTATTACCAACATTCCATTTATATATTTTGCTGAGATTAGAACCGCTCAAAGCATGAGTTCATTTCTGACCTAAGTCTACATCCTCCCTCTGGCTTCATATATTACAGAAAAGCTGAAGAAAAACAAACAAATAAAAATGCCACCAAAGATGACGTGCAACTCTTTTTCAGCTGGATTGCGCAATAGAGCAATATTTACGGTTTACCAAGAAAGCTCTACAAGTTGCTATGCATATGGCTTGACCTTTACTTTCTTCCCCCGAAAAGAAGTAAAAGAGCCAAATGTATAAACACAGAACAGCTGTCTTCCAGCAGAGACAGTATCCCACTGCACAGAGCCACACCCTGACACAGAGACACACACCAGCCCCGATCCATCCCTGAGCTCCAGCTGACTTGACTGCTGTAGATTCCCCAAGGGTCCACTGAGCTCACCCTCTGATGTAAGAGTGGACAGGAGCCACATGCTAGGGTGGCTTAAAATCCACCACCTCCTGCAGGCAGTGCCAACGCCCACACTGATGCTCTCTCTCCTGACCTCCCACCCAGGGACAGGGCCAGAAAGGAAAATTACCTTGCAGACAGCTGCCTGGAGTACTGCGTCAAAGCCCCCCTCGGGGGCATCACGGTTCCGGGACACCCTCTGTTTCCGAACTTCCTCGTTGAAGCTGTCGACTCTGTCTGTGAGAGGCAGCAGATGGCGGAACCCAAAGGAGGGGACGCAGTTGGGGAATAACTTGTAACTGGAGAGAAAGAAGAGAAGAGTCTCTTGTCCATCATTGTCTCTAAATCTTCAACAACCAAGTACTCTGTGCACCAGTGAATATTTACCCAGCACCTACTGTGTGCCCCTGGGACAGGCACAGTGGGGAGATCAAAGAGAAATAACACAGTCCCTACTCTCCAAACATCAAGCCCTTAACTGCAGACGAGACAGCATATACCAGGTTGTAAGTGAATGGAATGGACAAATGGTTCCAAGGAAGTAGTGATGATGGTGGGCTACTGCGGTCAGAGGAAGACACCATGGAGGAGTCCTGACTCAGGCCTTGAAAGATGCGAGGAACCAGTGGTATGGGCACCGCAGGCCAGGCAGCGCTGAGAGGAAGGCTCTTCCGGGCTGAGGAAGGTGGGCAATGTTGAGTGATGGCGATGTAAGCTGAGTTACTCCATGAAACCAGCTTCTCACATCAACTCTGCTGCTGCCATGTGACAAAGGATCACATAACCCCTTCACGTTGGCCCCCTCAGAGACCACCAGGATGTGCTGGCACATGAGCAAAAGCTAAATGGAACACAGATGAAATGTTCTTTCTGCTTCTTCATTCATTTATAAGTATGCAGTGATACACTATCAGCTCTCCTAGATGCAACAGAAATCATTTAGAAACTAACCATCCTCAAACAGATAATTAAATCTGGAAATCCGGAAAGAGGGAAGTACTGCGTCTCAATAGTAGGTTAATGCCAGGCTTTTCACCCGAAACACTTGGCAATCTCAACTTCAGTCTGCAGTAGAGATCTCAAGTGGTCCATTCCTGGAGGAGTTAGAGCCCAATTACAGTTGTAGGAGTTTCACCTTGAGGTATAGCTCATGAAACAGAGAGAGGCCTTACATTGTTTCACAAATGGGTTCACTATGTAAAAGGGGAAAGGGAAAGGCATCCTGACCAGAGAGAAGAGCAGGTACAAAAGCCCTGTGGCAGGAGGGAGCATGGAGAGCCCAAGGAAGAGGAAGGCCAGGGAGGCTGCAGTGCAGGGAGTAAGGGCAAGGATGGGCTAAGAGGAGGCTGGGAAAGCACGCTGGACCAGACTGTGCCAGTCTGTGGCCATGTTAAGGAAGCCTCTCTTTCAAAACAAAAGATGAAAAGTGAATAATCCAATTCAAGCCCTGTGCATGGGAAGGGAAACAGGCTTAGCAACTGCTAGGAGGATCCTGCCTAACTGTTGCTAAGAAGCGCCCGCCAGGGCAGGTCTGCACAGGTTCCCCTGGCTTTCTAAGAGGCCATTCCACTCTCCTTCGGGGCCTACAGTGCCTGCTCCATCCACCAGTCACTCACAACAAGCCGGCTCTGGAGAGAGTCAGCCCCACTGCGGTCACAGCCATGGCTCTCTCGGGACAGGGGGCAGCAGCTAGAGAAACTTGCCTTTCCTTTGTTTTGCTCCCTCCTCCTTCCCCTAAAACCTTCCCCTGCCCCTTGTGCTTGGACAGGTCAGACTCTTGCACACCCTCGGGCCACCCCAAATTTTCATTCGCCTCTCATTTTGCCATAGAGTGAAAGGTCGTGGAAATTGCATTCCCAGCTGGAAGGAGGAACTGAGCTGAGGTCCCATCTGATAAATGGATGGCCCAGGAGGAAGTGAATGTTCTCCAACTCTCACTTCCCTCTGTCTCATCCTCCAAGCGCCTACACCCTTGGTGTAGGGTGCTGTTCTGCTCCATGATTTAGGACTTTAGGTTTGTGTTTATTGTCACGGTTGATCAGGTTGGTTGAGGAAAGGGAGGAGAACAGAATAGTAATTGTCATTCAATGAGAAAACCAGAAAAGCTGTGAAAAGCTAAGCTAAACTAGCTTACTATTTTTTTACCTCTTCCCTTTTGCTCCTGGAAACAGCAATAAGTAGATATATTTTTACTGTGGAGAATTATTATTAAATAATCAGGAACTAGAAAATGTGTTTGCCAGAGAGAAGCCTTCATTACAGAGAATTTTCTATAATCAAATTAGAGTCATCTCTTAGTCAGAGGAAAACAGCTTTGTCACACAGACCCTGTTGAATGTCTCCACAGTCACTGGAATACGATGTCACCTGTGACTAGTTATTTAATTTAACCCCTGGAAGAGCTGTCTGAGTGACCCGGAGATCTGAGTGTTTGGGGGTCTCATGCCAGGAAACCGTCTCACCCCCACCCTACGTCTGCATCATAGGGCACATGTTTAGGGCCATGCACAGGGAATTACTAAATTAAGGACTATGAACAGGAAGATAAATAAAACATATATGCTGGATTAAAGAGCCTGGGGGAACACGTGTGTATAAAAAGTTAATCCAATTTGAAGACACTAGATCTAGGCGAATCCAGAAAACAATGCTTCAGGACAATATTGTGGATTATGGACCTGACACGGAAAAAGCTCCCCTCTTACTCTAAACATAGAACTGCTGGATAAAATGTAATTAGAAAAATTTTAATTTCTAGCCAAGACTGGCAGTTAGCAGGGAATCCCAGGTGTCAGAAATGAAGAGGAAACCAGTCAACAAATGAATGGACCTAAGAGACTAGCTGGGGAGTGAGCAGAAGCTCATGGGGAAGATAAGAGCCCCTGCTGTGACAGGACCCAACAGAGGTCCTGAGGGCTTGAGGCAGGATTCTAACAGGGATGAGTGATGAGCCTCAGACCTGTGCCTCACCAAGCACTGGAACAGGGCTCTCTGCACAAAGCCGAGCACTACAAAGAGCTGCTCCGTCACTAAAATCAAAAACAGAAAAATTCCAGCCACTGGCCTGGGCGAGAAGCAAGGAAGATCCACTCTGGGTCAAGAGCAAGATAATCACCCATAAAAAGTGTAACTCCAGGCCTGAACAAGTCAGAATTCACTACTTCTATGGTGAAGGGACCCCCAGCTGAGAAATGAACAGGAAAACTAGTCCTAGTGAAACCTGGAGGACGATGGCAGCAATCAACATGAACCCCCCGCTGCAGGGATGCCAACAACCCGGGGCCCGGGACGCTCTGACGAAAACAGCCTCTGACAGAGAGGAGCTAATGGAAAAGTAATAGACCCGAGAGAAACAAACCACCATGAAGGATCTGCAGCTCAAGAAGCAGAGACAATGGAATGATGTGAAGTACTTTACAACAAGGATATTAAAAACATTCAAGGAGAGGAAGGAACAGATACCAAAGACCAGAATAGAATATTATTAGGGGAGAAAAAAGTCATAAGGCTCTGAAAAAAAAATAGTATGAGAAACAGAAACATGAAAAAGAACCAAATAAAAAATACAATCACTGAAATTCACAAATGAAACTTCAACGTATGAATTAAACAACTGAAGAACAAAATGGTAAACTGGAAGAAATTTCTTATTATGCAGCTAAGGGAAAGAAAGAAAGAGGTAGAAATTATGGGAGAAAAATTAAGAAACATGAAGTTTAGAATGAGAAGTTCCAACACACACCCAGTAGTGTTAGAAAGAAAACAGAGAGTGAGAGAGAGGATGCAAAAGTGTCTGAGAATAATGTCTGAGAATTTTCAAGAATAAAGATGTATTCTCAGGTTAAACAAGCAGACCAAGTTCCGAAAAATGGAAATAAAAGAAAATCCAACCTAGACACATTGGAATGCAAACCATTATAGAACATGAAAAGCACAGGAAAGTATTGAAAGCCACCAGAGAAAAGGAAAACCATTAGATGAACAGCAGACTTATCAGCCACAAGATGTGCCAGAAGACAGTAAAATCATACCTTCAAGGTGATGAAGGAGTACAATGACCTCTTGGAATAAATACACAAAGGATAAGAAAAAATATAAAGGAAGGATGAAATGCATTATCTCACTTGCAAAGATTTTTACACATCTATTTCCCTTTTTGTGTGAGGTGAGAACAGTTAAGATCTACTCTCTCTTAACACTTTCAAGTATATAAGTACACACTTCAAGTATAGTATGGTTAACTATCGTCACCATGCTGTACATTAGATCTCCAGAACGTATTCATCTTATAAGCAGAAGTTTGTACCCTTTGACCAACATCTCCCCATTTCCCCCACCCATCCCCCAACCCCTGGCAACCACCACTCTACTCTGTTTCTATGAGTTCAGCTTTTTTAGATTCCACATATAAACGACACATGACTGGTATTTCAACAACAGCCCAATACCTCTAACAAAAGAAAAAGTATTCAGAAACAGAAATAGCATGCCAGATTAATCCTTCAAATCCTGTATCGGTGACTATCATGTGACTCTTCTCAGTGACGTTCTTCCTATTACTCAGAACAGCAGTTAAACATTTCTTTAATCTGATGATTAAATTATTTTGTCTTTTTTCTTCTTATGGCAGCCCTGGTACTACTTACTTCAATTCTGGCATTTCTGGTGCATTCTAAGAGGGGAAGGGGTGAGTCTAGGATTTTGATCCTTTGACAGAAACACCTGGAATAGAAGGTGGAGGGATAACCCTCAGGAAATCCCCATGAGAAACTGGCTCTCTTTTCTCTGAGATGTCCTGCACAGGTGGTGAAGTCATTCCTCCTGGCTCCTCCATCCCCCAAAACTTCCCGGGGGCTGCTGCCCCCACCACCACGGAGGAGAAAAACCTAACTGAAGGTGCCATGGGAGTTTGAGAAGAACCCTATGATTTTCCTCCCCATATTAGCTGAAGGAAAAGAATAGACAAGGATCAGAGACAATGTCTACTGAGCTAGGCACGGAAGGCAAACCAATGAAGCAGCCCAGCTGTGAGACAGGAGGGAGTGGTAGGGACTGTGGCAGCCAAGCAACAAGTGGTGCAAGCCCAGCTTTACCAGATCCCCCAGCGTTTCAAGAAAATCTAGAAATTCTGGTTATTCCTGGTTAAATCTTCTGTTTTTTAAATGTTGGCAACTAATTCACAGTGCCATTAAAACTGAGACAGGCAAACAAAGCACTGGTACAGGCTGGACCAGGCACAGGAACAGCCAGATTACACCCCCAACTTATGCTGTTCTCCCTCAAGAGCAGTGGGGAGTCTTCCAGGACACCCAGGACGCTGCACACATTCCACTGCCTGGATGTGGGCAGATGAGTCTCAGCCTGCTCACTGAGCCATACAGGGACTCTCTGATGGTTGCCTAGCTGAGAGAAGAGAGATCTGCATAACTTAGACCTGATGTTTCCTTCAAAACTCCCATTCTTCACTGGATTTCCTGTCTTACAAGTAGCTATCAGTGTGCCTTGCACTCACTGTCAAGACTTTTCCCGTCTGCAATTGGTTCTGCCTTCTCGGGCTTGGAGAAGGAGCTGTGAATAAGTACTGTGTAACAACCTTGAGTATTCAAATGCTGAGTGCCCAGAGCAGGTCCTTCATCCTCTGACAGCTTCCAATGTAGTCTCACAGAGAGTGGATGGTCCAGGGAAGAATGAAAGTGGAGACACACCCTGTCTGTCTGGAGACAGGGCCCAAGCAGAGGTCAGAGGTGAAAAGCAGCAGATAGAATCACTATTCCAGATGAACTGAAAAAAGTTTTAAGATGCTGTTACTCCTGGTAAGTAGCAGGACTCCAACCATAGGACATTTGGCACTGAGACTCAGCTGAAAAGGGCCTTGGAGACAGGATCAAAGTAATAATAATGCCAGCGGCCACCTGTGGCCAGGAGGAAGCTAAAACCAGCAAATGATGACACCTCGTGCCTCTTCATGGTTTGGGAACTTAGAATCTCATTTGTTTTTTTTTTTTTTTATGTTCCCCCCCCTCCCAAAGCTCCAGTAGATAGTTGTACGTCATAGTTGCACATCCTTCTAGTTGCTGTACATGGGACGCAGCCTCAGCATGGCCGGAGAAGCGGTGCCTCGGTGCGCGCCCGGGATCCGAACCCGAACCGCCAGTAGCGAAGCGCGTGCACTTAACTGCCAAGCCACGGGGCCGGCCCCATTTGTATTTAAAACTTTTTCTTATCTTCTTGTTTTTTCCACCATTATGTCAGTTCCCAACCCCTGGGGAAAGTCTAATTTAGTTTCTAGGAAAGTGTACAGAAGGATCAGGAAAAATTCAGAAGAACATATACCACCAGCATAAATACCACCTCACCCCAACCACCCAGCCCAACCCAGAGCTGGGAGCTGTTGAGTCTGCCAAAGATGAGTTGGAGGTTAGACAGGCTCAGGGGCCTAAGACCAGCTTCCCCTCAGGCACAGCCAAAGATACAAGAATCGAAAACGACATCACAAGATAGATGGAGCCTGGATGCCTGAGTCACTACTTAAAGGAGAGCTGCCACAGAAAGTGGCTCAACCCTCATCAGATCTTGTACAAGCAAGAAATAAACTTTCACTGTGTTAAGCCACGGAGATCTGGGGATTGTCCGTTACTGCAGTATAGTGTAACATTACCCTTAGGCAAGTGCCTAGAGGGTCGGGGTGGTTTTGGAATGGGTATTATTACTCAGACTCAGATAAGGCATCTGTGTTGAAGTGTGACTTGCATGGGGAAAAAATAAGCACTATATTAACGGAAATGCAGACTCTGGAAGTAGCTTGTCTGGATTCATATCCCAAGTCCACCCCTTACTATCTGTGTAATCTTGGGGAAGTTATTTATACTCAGCCTCCATTTCCTCAAATTTAAAATATGGCTCACATCTACCTTAGAGACCTCAAAAGACTACTATGAGATTTACATGAGACAATCCATATAAAGTATTTAGTATGCAGCCTGACGCTTAGTAAGAACTTAAGTCTTAGCTGTTCCTTATCTAGTGACTATTTTGGGGCCTTACATCCCCAAAGCCTAACTAAAGTTGAATGTGGAGATGAGGTAACAAAAAGTTGGAAGTTATCACTCACTGCGGTCACATTGCATAATTCTGACATTTAAAGGAATACTTGAACTAGAAAAGAAACAAACCAACCTCGTAGAGGTTGTGTTAGAGGAGTTGGAGGATGTGACCCTCCAGCCCGCATGCAAATACACCATGGCAGAGACTTATCCACCAGTCTCGTTTCCTCTTCTTTCTCGGCACAGCTCAACTAGTTTCCAGCCTCCTTGCCAGAAGCCAGTTCTGTAGAATAGAATGTAGCAGCAGAAGTGGTGAAGGCCACTCAGTCCCAGCCCATAAGATCCTCCTATGAGTGATCCTCCAGGCATGATGGCCTTAGAAGCCACATGTGGAAGATGGAGCACAGGATGAATGGAGCCTGGGTCCCTGAGTCACTGCTTGGAGGAGAGGTGATCAGGAGACCCATTTGCACTTAAGTGAGCAGGAAACCAACTTCCATCAACTTGGAGCCATTACATACTTCTAGATTTGTTTGTTGCAGCAGTTAGAATCTCCTGTTCTCTAATAATTTGTCAAATACTATCTAATTCAAATATTTGACATATGTTGAAAAAAGAAATCATACCCTTAAAACACAGGGTTTTCATTTTGTTTTGTCAAGGTAAGTTACAGTTATTTACATAAACAACAGGAACAGACGTTGAATTCACTTATCACAAGCACCTCAGTCACTCTAAACAACAGGAAAGTTTCCATTTTTCTGCCTGCTCCCTCCCTGATCACCCGAATCCATCACTTCCTGAGAAAATTCTCTAAAATCTATTAATGTAGAAAACAGTGCTGTGTCCAGCAAGCAGAAAAACAAATAGCTGTGATCATTACATCTTTATGTAACTTTGTGTCAGTTCATTTCCTCAACATAGGGGCAGGATAGAACTAGGTCACTGTTAACCAAATTAAACACCTAAACCTGGTTCCCTCTCCTAAATATGCCGTGTCTAGTCCTTTCTTTGGGCTAAGTTTTCCTGCTACTCCATTCCCCCACCCTTAAATACCCAAGAGAAGGACAGCTGGTCACTTACCCAATGCACGGATTGGTCTGGTACCTCGGCGCTGTGTAGGAGAAGGGAGAGATGTTCTTGTCTACAAAAGAGCCGAACCCCAAACGGAAGTTGCTGGTGAGCTTCCTCATCTCCTCAGCAAGCTTGGTGCCCAGGTTCCGGATGCTGTCCAAGTCATCCTTCATCGACAGGGAGAGGTCCATCAGGTAGTACAAATCCACAGGATAATCCTCCACCTGTCGAACCTGCAGCTGGAAGGTAGTCTTATCACCTGTGCCAACAGACAGGCCGTGCATGTTAGAGGTCATCCAACCTGCTGGGCCCTGAAGGGATGGATTTTGCTTTCAAAGCTGTCCATCTCCTATTTTTCTTTAGTGATTGTGGGTCTCTCAGAAGAAATATTTTTCTTGGAATTAGAGTGACTGAAGGGAATACAGATGGTGAGGATGAAGTTCTAGGTTCTCCTTATAAACACTTGGCTCAGCATTTTTAAGGAAATTCTTTAACAATCAGTCTCCTTAGTGTGTTCTGTTTTCTCAGCAAAAAGAACCCTTGGGTAATTGGTGGACAGTGAGCCAGACAATTCCATGGACACAAATTGGGTGAGAGCAGCCCACCAACCACACACCAACTTTAAAGAAAGGACCAGCCAAGATGGGAATGTGGCCAGGAGGAGACTGTAAAGGTGTGTGGAAAACAGAAAACAGGGAAGAAATTAACAGAAGAAGGCTACAGACATGAGTGAGGAAGAACTGAGGTGGGGAAGAGAGAGTACAAGGCAATGGAGGGTGGGGACACAAAGACAGTCACTTAAAATACTCCCAAAGGGCAAAAATATTTATGCTTGTATGATGTCACCTATTTCTATTTCCTTAGCCACTTACCAACAATAGTATTTTGTTCCTGGGCATATTTGACCTTTTGGGACATCATGGACACAAATCATTATCATCAGAAATTATATGTATAAATAACAAGAAGACAGATTCCAAATTTTAGCCCCATCAAAAAGAGAAAAAAAGAAAACACAAAAAGAAAAAAAAAAACTCCTAGATTTGTATATAAGCTACAAGAAAGAGAAAATAATTTGTGGTTCTACAAGAAGACA